CTAGCCTTGAGCTGAAGAGCTGAGGGACAGTGCCCAGGCCCAGAGTTCAGGCCCCACGACCGGACCCCCCCCCCAAAAAAAACTCTACACCAAAAAGCTGGGCTGGAAGCACTGCTCAAGTAGTAGAGCACTAGACAAACAAGCAAACTAAGCAAGCATGAGGCCTTGCAGTACTGCCATAAATAAATAAATAGGTGTAGCCCCAATATTGGAGGGAAAAAAAAGTAAAAATTGAATAGTTAATGCATGCTTCAGCAGCCCATATACCCAAATTAGAACTGTACAGAAAATAGCACGGCCCCTGAGCAAAGTGATGGAAAAACCTGTATTTTCCACCTTTGCTCTCATTTTTTTTTCTTCTCATTCTTTTAAACCACAGATAACAAATGAAATTAACTATTTAAATTTCATGGGTCAGGTACAGTGACTCAAGCCATCATCCCAGCTACTATAGAGGTGGACAGGGAGGCCAGCCTAAGTAAAAAAGAAATAGGGAGAAAAAAGAAAGAAAAAGAGAGACCCCCTACACCTCAGCAAATACGCTGGATCTGATGTTAATGCAAATCTGCAATTCAGTCTATGATCATGGTCCAAGGCTGGCCAGGGCAAAACAGAAACTTTACAGGAAAAACTAAAAGCAAAGAGCTGGAGGCAGAGCTCAAGTGAAAGGGTACCTGCTTAACAAGTACCAGGCCCTGGCTCAACCCCTACCACCATTAAGACTTTTTTTTTATTTTTTGGTTGTGGGGCTTGAACTCAGTGCCTGGGCACTGTCCCCAAGCTTTTCTGCTCAAGGCTAGCGCTCTACCACTTGAGTCACAGCGCCACTTCCATTTTTCTGGTGGCTCATTGGAGGTAAGAGTCTCACAGACTTTCCTGCCTGGTGCTGGCTTTGAACTGCAGCTCTCAGATCACAGCCTCCTGAGTAACTGGGATTACAGACGGGAGCCAGCAGCACTGGGCAAGATTTTTTTTTTTTTTACAGTAAATTCATTGTACTCAAGTTGAGGGTTTACAAAAGGATATTATCAAAGGAAAATAACAATGACCTGGAGAAGGTGCCCACCTAACTAGGTGCCACCTTAGTGATGTCACCTTCCCTTGGCAGACACAGGCTTGACCGACACTACCTCAAATCCAGGCCCCATCCTGGAGCACCTGTGGTCAGAACCTGTTCCTTTGGGGTAACTCAAGGCCATGTCTGTGGCTGGTTCTTCTGAGATGAAGCTTTCCTTCCTTCCACAGAAACCTATACTACTGCAGAGCTGGGGGCCTAGCTCAGTGCTGGCATGCCTGCCTAGCAGGTTCAGGATCCCAAGCTCAAGCCTTAGTACTGCCAGACAACAAAGTATTACACTAACCTCTAAAAGCATAAGGCATAGCTCACCAAGCCACAATTCCATTCTGTTTGGCTCCTCTACGGTTCTCCAAGAGCTCTACACTCGACTGAAAGCTCCAATGCTCGTACACTTCATGCTTGCTTGTGCCAAACCTCTGCTTCCAGGCTAAAGCCACCCGATGACCTACTAACCATTTCTGCTACAGAAAACAACTCCTTTTGCTTTGCCTGGGGCTGGCAAACGCAGTCAATATGGCAAGATGGAGAGGAATACAGGAACCCAGCAACATCTCCCAACCCCAACTTTGCGCTGTGGGAGTTATAACTTGCCCATGCTTTGGCTCTGCAACCCATCCAGACACTTGTGTTCGTTACACAGTAAACCAACTATCATACTTCGTGTCAGCAACATAGGAAGGTTAAGACAAAAACATTGATGGAACTGCTGAAAAAGTTGAGGTATGTCCTATGTAACAACTCAAAATTTCTTTACTTAAATACTGCGTGTAGTTAGGGCTTTAAGTTTCCCAGGCAGGCACTCTAAAAAGTAGGTAAGCCACGCCCTCTGTCATTTTGCTTTTGGTTTTCTCAAGTAGGGTCTCATGTTTTTGCTCTGTTGGGTCTTTGGATTCTCTGTGCTCAAGGCCTGAACTCTACCGCTTGAGTCACAGCACCACTCCTGGCCTTTTCTGTTTATGTGGTACTGAGGAATCAAACTCAGGGCTTCATGCATGCTAGGCAAGCACTCTACCACTAAGCCACATTCCCAGTGCAAAAGGTTTTGTTTTGCTTTTGCCAGTCCTGGGGCTTGAATTGAGGGCCTGGTCACTGTCCTTGAGCCTCTCTGTGCTCAAGGCCTGAGGCCTTTGGATTTTCTTACCTCCACCTCTGAACAGCTGGGATCATAGGTCTGTGCTCTCACAAAAGGAGTCCAAATACCGTTTAATGGTCTTGCAGAAATGAAATGGTATCTGTGAGCATGTTCAGAGCAGAGACGGAGACTAAGCACCTTTATGACAAGGCCTTGAGTTTAAGGTACTTCCTTCTACTCAGACGTTACTACTATGTAGTAGGTTTTCAGGTGCTATGCACACCCTCTTCTGGCCAGCTAGAGAAACTACTACTGGAAAAGAAAGGCAGGCAGCAGTGGTGCAAATACTGTCTGGGACTATGATAGGGAGAAAGTAATCAGGCAAGCTGACAAGAGCGGTCCGGAAGGCAGTGCATTCACACCTCAAGTTCTACGCAGCAGCAGACACCTGGAGATGACAGAAGTATGTTGAGTTTGTATCCAGGACCCCCCACCCCTCGCCCCAATCCCTGGTTAAAAGCATGGGTGTGTAATGGGACTAAGTATGAATCCCAGATCTGCCACTTACCAGCTGTGGGTTCTTGAACAAGCTAGGTGACGTGTCCACAAGTTTTCTCACCTGTAAAGTGAGAAGTAGCAATGGCATCTGCCTTTAGGGGCTGTTGTGAGGACTGAGTGGCTAGAAACAACTATCAAGTACAGAGTACTCTACAGCCTTCCAGTCCAGGATGGTCTGGTAAGATGTGCAAGACTATGCTAGAGAACACACCACCATCCCTAGATGGAGATTCCTCTGAACAACTCCTTCCTTTGGCTAACCTATATGAGCACTGTGGGGTACCAAGAGCTAAACCTTTCTTTTTCCCTCTGTCTTACGTGGTGGGCAATTCAAACATCTATTCTGAAAAGATAAACTATGTTCCAATAATTTCATTAGTATAGAAGAATCCCCACTAGTATTTACATAAAGCAAAAGATGGTTACAAACGTGATATAACAATCATCCTTCATTCAGCAAAAGAATAAGATGAAACACTCATGTTTGTAACTCATATTAATTTCGCTAGTTTTTATTAGAGCATTACAATTAAAACATTAAGTTATAAATTTGTGTGGTATATTTAGAAATTAAATTACAAAATAATACAAATACTTTTAAGGTGTGATGTGCCAACAGAGTTTCGATCTTTATCACTGATTAAGAATTCAGATTTCACAGGTGAACAGCCTGGCTGATTCCTGTGAGGTTACTGGTTGTAAGGACGGGGAGATGTCTGTAAATAAATTATTTCAGAGAAAAAAAATTAAAATCAAAAAGAAGATAAGTTGTTTTTGTTTTTAGCAGATTTGTGTCCTCATCTGTTGGCACAATGTACAGAAAATACTTACATGATAAGATTTGTTTAAGCAAACAGTTTTACAAACGGTAATACTTCTTTATACATATATTAAAGTAACAATGTGTTACGATTAGCGGTTTTATGTTAAGTTGGAAATGAATGTAGAGATTGCTATTCATTTGCACATTATAATTCCCACCCCTCCCACCTCCCCCAGCTTATTAAGAAATCAGACAACTACATTATTCAGATATTAAATTATCAATATTGAAACTATGTGAATTCCTCTTGACTAGCTCTTTTCCAAATACTGGAAGCATATAAAATACCATCTCTGCAAAAAATGACCTCCAGTCAAAGCCTGTAAAAACTTTTCTATTTGTAACACGTTATTTTTCTCCATGTTTAGTCAAAAGAAATTAGATTACATCATTTACAACCAGTCAAACCTGAAATTAATTCTGAGAAGTCATTCTCATAGCAAACTGCCCTTCTGAAGCAGACGTCTAACTTGAGGAGGAATGGAACCCACACTGTAGGTCATACTCGTCTGTATTGAAATAGCTTCTCTATGCTAAGAAAGACATCACTGGTTTCATTTTCTGCACTGATGAATCCTTACTCTTAAGTCTCCAAGGAGTGAACCACAAGCACTTCCAAACCAAAAGAGACCTAAGACAAACCTAACCAAGCCTGTCCCACTTCTCATACAGCCTGCAGTTCAAAATATGCAAGTTCCAAAATTTACTAAAACAAATGGTAAACATATCGATATATACTTAAGGATACTCTCAGTGTAATAGGAGCATTTCCTTTAATAAGTCTTGGGTTGTCCTCTAGAAGTGACCATTTCATACAACAAAGGCGAATGAATCTGGTCCCTTGAATCTGCTGCCAGAGGAGGTACTAGACATGAAGAGCATGTATCAAACATAATCAAACACATCAGAAGTTGATAGCAAAACTAAGTTCCTGATGTTCTAAGATCTCCTCAGCTTCTCTTTTGATACAAATATCAAAAATCTAAAATGACAATTCATGTTTAGAAGATATATAAAATATAAGAAACCTTTGAAAACCTATTAACTCAAGATCAAGAGTTGTGTGAATCACCGACACTGAGAAAGGAAATGAATACCTTAAAAAGTAGGAAAAGTTTTCCAAATCACTCCTAGGATTGTCAGTAGTTCAAAACCTCTATCATTTCCTTAAACAAGTTTAGAGACAGTAAGATCGGCCAGGGATCAATGCATGATTACGATATTGAAGGCTTCATTCCTTACCTGCTGTGTTTTAGGTGTCGGTAATTAGTGACTTTAAGTCTATACTGGAGAATCATTTGGACAGGACAATACAATCATGTCCCCTTTCTGCACACTAAGACAGTTGACAGGTTTGACATTTTCTATACAGTGATGCTCCTACACTTTCACAATTCACATCCATCATCAACCAAAAGTCTAATCTCTCCAGTAGTTAAGTGCCAGCACTGTAAAAAAAAAACTCAAACTAGCACAGAGTCCTTGTGAATTCAGTAAAAGATATTCCCAACTCTTCTCTTCTGCCTCTGTGAGGCAAAGCCCTGCCACATATAGCTAGGAGGGCAGGGAACTACCTCTTCCCTCCTCTGTCTGTGTCTGCTTAGGGGAGCTTCTCAGTGGGAAGAGGATGGTGAATGAGAACACTGGCCAGTGGAGATGGAAGAGGTGGAAGGAAGAGGGAAGAATGGGTAATTTGCAATTCCCCCACTGGAGCCTGACTGGCAAATATAACACTTTAGCTCATTATGTTTAATTTCTCCCAAGCAAGTATACACATTCCTAGAGAAGGGCAGAGATAAATAACAGTGAATAAAAAATTAATTCCTGCATATATCTATATACTCTGTATCATCTAATAGGTTCAGCACAATTACTACAACTTTCTCTTTTTTTCTAAAGACTTTCTCCTCTAAGCCTCGGCAGAATGTGTTACAAGTTGTGCAAAATGCCTTTCCCTGACTTCCTGTCAGCAACTACGGTGGGTGGAAATTGCTCAGGGACAGGTATGAAATGTTTGGTGTTCGTTTTTTTTTGTTTTTTAAGATGAAAATGGTTTACACTCAGGGTAAGTTTGGATATCCAAACAAATCCCTATCTCAAATCAAGAGGGTCCTAAACTGAAAGCAAGGAAGACCAACCATATCCGAATAACTGTTTCGGGATAGTTTTACATGTAAGTGCATATAATCAGTTATAGTTATTCACCTGTCAAAAACCTGCCTAGTTTTATGGAAATAAGACTATGTACAAGAGCATTCCTGAGGTAAGTAAGAAGCAAATACAAGACAGAACCCGGTGGGTTCCATCATGGTAACTGCTCGCTATTAGAGATAACCTCCATTGCTTCCCACAAATGAGGCCAGCAGCGCTACTCTGGCATGGTGGCTCTATCACTTGCCTAAGTTCTGTTTTAGCCCATCCCAACCTTAACGGAGTACAATGATCACCAAATAAAAGCTGCATGAATTTTTTTTTAACATAATATATACTTCGTGGACTTCTGGTCCTACCTCTAGCTCTTTTTTTTTTTTTAAAGCCTAAACTATTTCTTGATTCAACAAATTAGAGTGAAGGAGTTACAGGTTTCAAAGGAAACATTGGTATAGCTGCTTTATCCTTAGATCCTTGATCTTTAGTTTAAAAAACAACCTTAAATCATTACTTAAGAACTAATTCCATTAGAATGTGATCTTCTTTCTTTAATCATTTTTCACAACAAAGTAAACTGAAACAAATCTGAACTTCCCACACAATTCTTAGACATTTAGATGCTAATTAAAATCTAAGCTATAGATTATAACAGGTAAAAGCTAAAAACAAAAATGTTGGGCATTAAACACATAGAGTAACTGTAGGGCAGAGCAAAATGGTGAGATGAAGCATCGAGGGTTATAGCTGCCACCCTCACCCAGCTGGAGACAGAGCATGGTGGTCCCATTTCCTGAGTCACATGTTTTGGGGTGGAGGTGTGGAATCAGAGCGCTCTTTGTTCACGGAGCTGCCGTTGCTGGGCTTTGGCTGCTCAGGACCAGCCTGCAGGTCAGGAGTCCATGTGTCACCATCCATCCCTGCTTCTGAAACCTCGGGCCCTTCTGCTTCCTCTTCTCCATTCTGCTCTACGTGGTCTTCCTCAGAACCAGTAAGGGTTTTCCCAAGCTGGAGGGTCTCCATCGTCCTCTGGGTCTCAGAGACCCATGACTCAATTCTACTGTTGAGTTGGACTTCTACTGATATGGGTTCGTGCGTATAATCTTCCTCTTCTTCCTCCTCTTCATCTTCCTCTTCCTCAAGCATGCCGGGTACAAGAGTGCTGGTGGTGCTGGTGATGGAGGAATTCAAAAGATCTCGGCAACTGCCATCCAAAGACCCAGTCTCGGTGCTCTGCTGGGAGGCCCACTCCAGGTCGTCCGGCCTCCCCTCCTCTCGGTCACCTGTGGCAGACTTCCCCAGGTTCGTGGCTGAGGTAGGGCTGCCTGTAGCCACCAATGGTGGCTGCTTGCCAGCAGAAGCTGTGTCACCTAAGGGCTTACTGGGTTTTTCAGAAGAGCTATGCTCACAGGAGACCTCTCTCTCTGTTTCTGATGTTTCCAGTCCATCTGAAGTTTCCACCATATGTCTCCAATTGGTCTCTATAAATAGCAAGCAGATTTTTAACAACCAGGATACGGTTTCCAAATCATGGAACTTAAAAAGCCGCCAAACAGCAGAAATATTTTAGCTCAGTAACTGACTGGAAAATTTTCAGATTTAGTTTATTCTAGTACTGGTTTAAATGTTGTACAGGAAAAATCAATTTTCAAAGAATGGGCACTTCAAGTGAAGAAATAAAACAACAAAAACGAATGCATAACATCTATATACTCATGAAAATGGATGCATTTGCCTTTGCCTTTGCCTGGTGGTGGCTCACATCTGTGATCCTGGCGACTCAAGCAACTGAGATCTGAGAACTATACTTTGAAGCCAGCCTGGGCAGAAGAGTCGAGAGCCCCATTTCCAATTAACCATAAAAAAGGTTGAAATGGAGGTATTGCTCAAGTGGTAGAGTGCCAGCCACGAGCAGAAAAGCCAAGACAGAGAATGAGGTCTTGGGTTCAAGCCCTGGTATTGGCGTGGGCAGGGGGGGGGCAGTACCAGGCAGGCACACTGAACCATACTGAGCTTAAACATGCACACCACTCACACACGGCAGAGCCAAATAACCAACAAAATAGTGCTGATTTCATGAGTCTGTACCACATTTCGGTGAGCATGTCACCTAAATTTTGGGTCGGATGTTTTCCTTTATGTATAAGCAATGAATCCATCTATGAATTTCTAACATCTCTGAAAATTTATTTTATAATATATATAACTTGGCTTACAAGGTTAACTTTTTTTCTTTTCCCCATCATCCTTTTGTTTTTGTTTTGAATTAACTGCTTCTTGGTATTGCTTTGTCAATGAAATCAGAAATGTGAGCATGTGAGATTTTACAGGTGCATGCCATGTCTCCTCAAGGGAAATGGAATGGAGAGGCTGCAGGGGAGCTTGGTTGTCCCTGTGTCTGATGGTTCTCTTTAAGTACAGATTGTGTTCTGCAGGGACAGGACTTACTCAGTAATTTTACAGGGCAAAAAAAACAGGTTATAATACATAATACCCTGGTGACAGTTTGAAATACTTTTTTATGCTAGGAAATCAGTTTAGAACCAAACTACTAGACAAGCACCAATATGCCAGGAATCAGTAGAGATAGTTCAGTTCTGCCTCTTTTTTTGTGTTAATTTTTTAAAATGAAAGTATCATTTAATTACAACTATTTGCATTTTATAGGTGTATCGTGTGTGTGTGTGTGTGTGTGTGTCTGTGTCTCTCTCTCTCTCTCTCTCTCTCTCTGTCTCTCTCTCCTGGGGCTTTAACTCAGGGCCTGGGTGCTGTTCCTGAGCTTTAGGGCTCAGGGTTAGCACTCTACCACTTGAGACACAGCATGCTTCTGGCCTTTGGGTAGTTAACTGCAGATAAGAGTCTTACAGACATTCCTGCCACGGCTGGCTTTGAACCTCGATCCTCAGATTTCAGCCTCCTGAGTAGCTAGGATTACAGGCATAGCCACCAGCGCATGACCAGGTACATTCTTATCAAGTTGTAGTGAATAATCACATGAGTGTATTCAACTTGATTACCACTCATGGATTATACATTGATACAGAGCATATCTGGGAAACTTTGAATCAGGTGACATGGTTTATACAGAAAAGAATCCTTTCTTTCCTACAGATACTTTGGAATAGAACAGGTTCTTCCTAGATGCACTTCCTTCCCTCATGAACACAAGGTCTCCTCCATCCATATTTGCACTGTTTATAACATTATAATTCACAGACTTAACAAGGAAGAAACATTGGAAAGATAATTCCACAGAAATTTCTCATAGAAGCCGGGCGCTGGTGGCTCACGCCTGTAATCCTAGCTACTCAGGAGGCTGAGATCTGAGGATCGCAGTTCAAAGCCAAAAAACCGGAAGTGGCGCTGTAGCTCAAGTGGTAGAGTGCTCGCGTTGAGCTGAAGAGCTGAGGGACAGCGCCCAGGCCCAGAGTTCAAGCCCCATGACCAACAAAAAAAAAAAAAAGAAAGAAAGAAATTTCTCATAGAAACTCTCAGTCACAAATATTTTATTTTTAATTATTTATTTTTGTGCTGGTCCTGGGGCTTAAACTCAGGGTCTGGGTACTGCCCCTGAGCTTTTTTTGCTCAAAGCTAGTGCATTACCACTTAAGCCACAGCTCCACTTCTATTTGACTTTCCTGCCCTGGCCAGTTTTGAATCACAATCCTTAGATCTAAGCCTCCCGAGTAGCTGGAATTTTAATTTTTAAGGGACATATTTAAGGCAAATTTATGTCAAATTTTTGGGCAAAACCTGAAAAATGAAAAAATCAATCAATATATACTAATAAAAAAGTCAAAAAAGACTTACAAAAGGTGACAAGTTAGGGTGGAAAGCTACTTACCAAGTAAACTTACCAAGTAAATTTAAGCACTTTAACATCCTTTATAATGACTTGCAACCACTTACCATATTCCTTCTCATTCACTTCTGAGATGGGCTCTGAGATCACACTGCAGAAGGAAATGGCGCTGGCCGCAGACGGGTTGCGGGAGTGTCCCATGTGGTGTGGCGCCTTCTTCACATTCTTCAGGGCCTCCTCCGCCTGCTCCTGCTCCATGGCTGCAACCATGTCTTTATATGCTCTCCGGGCTTCCTCCGTGAGCTCTACTAACTTGTTAAACAGGCTCTAGAAACACGGAGATCCCATCAGTCCATTATTATTCCTATTTTTAGCGATAAAGGCTTCTGTTTTAGGTCAGATATACTTTCCAATCAGGACAAAACCTGAATGTTATCTAAATTACAAAATACACTGTAACTTATATGATTTGGGGACACTTCTTGATTCTAACACTGAATGTGATACAGCCTGTCAATTCAACAACTGTACTCTCCTGTAGTCTGGTGCGAGATGGACCCCCACGCATGCTCCTGTGGAATCCTTTGCTTTTTTTTTTTTTTTAAGCATAGCACTTTAAGTGCTTTGAGAAGTGAAAGTGTTATGGCTTTAATTTCTGGACATCACTGAAGAATTCATGAAGGAAGATGGCATTGGTATGGGATTTGAAAAATGTATAATTTGAGGGGTGAAATAGGGCATGCTTTGCCCTATTTGTACAGAAAAGTTAAAGGCTTATTATTTAGGGGCCTGTAGCGTCTGCCTGTTGGAAGAACTGAATAGGCCAGGGGCTGGGAAGGTGGCTCAGTGGAAGAGCGCTTGCCTTGCATGCATGAGGCCCTGGGTTCGATTCCTCAACACCACATAAGCAGAAAAGGCCGGAAGTGGCACTGTGGCTCAAGTGGGAGTGCTAGTCTTGAGCTGCAGAGCTGAGGGACAGCGCCCAGGCCCAGAGTTCAGGCCCCATGACCAGACCCCTCCCCCCCCCCCCGCAAAAAAAAAAAAGGAATAGGCCAAAAGGAAGTCAGTGATGTTTGCTTCAGGATTAACCCCTGTAAACATGTTCACCACTAAAAAAGCAATTTAACACTCCAGAACTTCCTTTCATTCTTTGTCAGCTCATTCCTTTAAAGGTTCTGGCATTGTCAACAGAGGGTGTGCCACTCCTGCCCGGAGAATGACAGCATGTCCCTCAATTCTTACCTCAGCGCCAGAGTAGTTGAAGATTCCCACTACGCTGACAGGAACCAGCTTGTTCACGCAGCGCCCCAGAGCTTTCCTTCCCAGGGCAAACACAAAAGGGATTTCTTGCTCCCGGGCCATAGCTATAACGTTATAGAGAGCCTCATCCAGTCCACCTAAGAAAGACCAACACATGTGGAGGTTTCAGTTCATTATTTCCTAAAGGAGCTGATCTAGCTAAAAACATGTTCGTGCCGCCAGAAAACATTCTTTGAACGTGTCCAGCACTTACGGTGGATACATTCTCCACTTTGAATTTCTATTGCACAGGCATTTACATATTTGTATATGCAACTTTCCTTCTCCATCAACTAAGTCTCAAGTTCCTTCAAACATAGTTATTTTTGTTTGTTCTTAGGGATTAGCCTAACAGCAATCGAATCTGAATTTAGCAAACGTTTGTTATAAAGAAATTATTTATAATTGTTACTCTTAGCGCAAACTTTCAGCCAAGTAGTGAACTGTCACCATGGAATGAAAGACTGATTGGGTAGTTTTATTGGTCTCCTCCTGGATGCACCTGTCCCTGGCCTCTGATCAGTGTCTAATCACCTACTAGTTGCTCCTCCACCTCAAAGGAAAAATCGGGAGCACCCACATGGTCCAAGTGTTTGCATACTGATTCCCCAAGAGCCTCTCTAAAGAGAGGCTGGGTTCCTGAGCGACAAATTTCCACCACAGGCAGGAGCAGAGAACTTTATATTTTTTCTAGTTTCTTTTAAGAGGAGAGGTACCAGAAGTAAAGAAATGCACACTGACAAGTGCCCTCTCTTATCACTACAGAAGGGGCAGTTGGGGATCTGACTGAAATCCTTATCCAGGATCCACACATGACTTCCTTTACAAGTTAACCTCAATTACCCTAACTCAACTTCAGGTACTTATTTTATCACTACATTCTACAGAGAAACACAAATGGCTCTCACTTTATTTTTATTTATTTATTTATTTTTGTCGGTCGTGGGGCAGAACTCTGGGCCTGGGTGCTGTCCTTCATCTCTTCAGCTCAAGGCGAGCGCTCTACCGCTTGAGTCAAAGAGCCACTTCGGGTTTTCTAGTGGTTCATTGGAGATAAGAGTCTCAGACTTTCCTGCCCGGGCTGGCTTTGAACAGCGATCCTCAGATCTCAGCCTCCTGAAATAGCTAGGATTACAGGCGTGAGCCACCGGCGCCCGGTGGCTCTCACTTGAAAACAGAACATCCAGGCTCACGCCTGCAATCCTAGCTACTCAGGAGGCTGAGATCTGAGGATCACTGTTGAAAGCCAGCCCAGGCAAGAAAGTCTGTGAGACTCTTATCTCCAATTAACCACCAGAAAACTGGAAGTGGTGCTGTGGCTCAAGTGGCAGAGCACTGACCTTGAGCTGAAGAGCTCAGGGACAGCACCTAGGCCAAGAGTTCAAACCCCGTGACTGGCAAAAAAACAAAAAACAAAAAACAACAACAAAAACACCCCCAGAACATCCTACAATTACACCAAATGAATACCTTTGGACTGAATTTTTTCACAGTTTGGAGAAATTATAACACACTTGATTTTGTTCAACTTCATGTGTTTGGTAACCTCCCTTAGACCCATCACCAGCCGTCTTCTTGCTTTTGCTCTTACAGGATCCTTTTGGTAGATGCGTTCCTGAAAACTGACTAGCTCTTGGAGAAGAAGAGTCACACATTCATCAATTTCTTTACAAAGAACTTGGTTACAATACCTGTAAAGGAAGCAAACAATAAGTAATGCTATCCTAAACTTATTTTCTGATAATTACAAAATTACATTAGGAAAGAATCTTTGAGAGAAAATGTAAACAATAAAGATTTTAAAGCCTCCAAATAATTTAGTCAATTAGAAAGACAGAAAAGTGTTATACATTGCCCTTTTTTGTTTTATTGGTAGTGGGACTTGAACTCTGGGCTTGTGCGCTGTCCCCCTCAACTCTTCAGCTCACGGCAAGTGCTCTACCGCTTGAGCCACAGCGCCACTTCCAGTTTTCTAGTGGTTTATTGGAGATAAGAGTCTCACAGACTTTTCTGCCTGGGCTAGCTTTGAACCATGATCCTCAGATCTCAGCCTCCTGAGTAGCTAGGATTACAGGCGTGAGCCACGGGCGCCCGGCTTGCTTTTTTTTTTTTCATTTTCACCAAGATGGTTTTTAGTAAAGGATAGGTTAACTTCAGGGAAATATTATCTAAACTCCCATTATGAAATTCCTAATGATATGAACCAAATGTTAGCTTTTTATAAGGCAAAAATATATTTTTTCCATTTATACAGGGCCATATTTATAGATATACACAAATTAACAAAATACAGTATATTCAGTAGAGGAGCCAACAGCATAACTTCTCTGAGCAAGTAACGTACAGCTGAACAAAATGCATACCAGGAAGCTGAAACATGTTTTGTCAGGGAGGTCACAGATGAATAGAGAAAGGAAAGATGGGCAAATAATGTCATAATATTCAATGTCCTTATGTGAAAATGGAACCAGGTAACTTGAGGGAATGAGGGGGGTTGGGACAGATGGGGGGACAACAATGTAAGGAGTGAAGCAAGGTACTTATAACCTGGTATGTTGAATTGAAACACCTTTGTATAACAACTTAAAAGATAATATAAGAAGTAAACCACAGCCGGGCGCTGGTGGCTCACGCCTGTAATCCTAGCTACTCAGGAGGCTGAGATCTGAGGATCGCGGTTCAAAGCCAGCCCAGGGCAGGAGAGACTGCGAGACTCTTATCTCCAATAAACCACCAGAAAACTGGAAGTGGCGCTGTAGCTCAAGTGGTAGAGTGTCGCCTTGAGCTGAAGAGCCGAGGGACAGCGCCCAGACCCAGAGTTCAAGCCCCACGACCGACAAAAAAAAAAGAAGTAAACCACAAAAAGTATGGAAAATATAAGTTTTCCATAAAAGATTATTTCTTTCCAACAAATAAGAAATGTGGTTCTAGTAAGAAATATAACTTGCACCTGAATGTCCTAATATTAATACTTCCTCTGTCAGCCTAGGTAAGTCTCAATCATAAAGATAAGATGGCCTTGGTGGCCCCAGCAGCTCTGATAATCTATAACTATGGAAGACACACTCAATAGTGAAACTTAAGTCAAAACCAAAAAGGCCTTGTGGTAAAAAGTCACATGGTTTACATCAGAGATTACGTATGGCTACAATGAGAAAACAGAATGGAAGTATGGGGTCACAACAACACTTCAATTCTGGGGAAAGACCTCCAAGCATACTTCCTGTTAACTCTTTCCCTCTGTGCTAGCTCTCGGCTCTCATCTCAACCACAGCAGCATTTAAGAAGCAGAACTGATAGAACGCGCAATCTAGTACTAGCTAAGCACATGTCTACTGGTGGCCTGCCCTTTGTTATGGGCAAACAACTCTCCACCCTCCCTCCTAAAACAAAAACATAGTGTTGGAAATCTTGTTTTATGTGAAAAATGTTTTAATAAAGTGCCACTATGACACTACAGAAAAAAGGACACAAATGGACAGCCTAAAGGAAGATGAGCTGTCCTAAGTACTCAAGATTAGAGAGCAGAACACCAAAAATACAATTTTCTTCCTTCTTTTTTCTTTCAAGCTGTTTATTTCATGCACATGTAATGTTTCTCATTCGCCAAGTCTTGCCTCATTCCACATCTGTTATTTGGCATTTAATTAACTTCTCATAGCTTAGCAAGAAGTATTTGTTCAAAAACAATAGAAAAGGAGAAGGAACAAAGCAAATCAATCTAGTTTGGGCTCTAACTGGTTATACTTTTACCCTAGAACATGTCCATGTGTTGTTTTCCAAGGTAAAATTTATCTACACAAATGTTATCTACACACAAATTTATCTACACTAAAATGCTTCTCAGAAGTAACTGTTACTTTAAGGTCGTTCATTCACAGATGGGGTACTACATTCCCCCCCAGTTGTCTGAATCCTAAACACAGAAACAGTTCCTTGGAAATAGTTTGAGCTAGATGTATAGCAGGGTAATAAGAGTACTTGCATGTCATGGAGCCCTCATCTCATAAAAAGATAGAGAAGTAAATAAATAATAAAAGCAGTAATACTTTCATGCGATATGTTTATTTCATGTAATACGGCTTCAGATACAAGTAGAAGTCTATTACATGTTATTTGTTAGAGAGCTGAGAGGTCAATGACACAAAAAAACAAAGGCATTTGGAAGGGCAAAAACTCAATAGTATGACACTGTGTGTTTACACAAGGTTTAAAAGGCCAGGATTCTAGGGCAGAGACATTGTATAGTATATAAAATATATTTATCGTCAAACTACTCTCCACAAACACTGACAGAAGGGAATGCTTTAAATATAGTAAAACCAGCTGTTTAACAAACCCAGAAAGAACTTAAAGATGTTTGGTATTTCACCTACTCAACTCACTAAGTAACAATGGTAACATTGCAATCAAGATCTTTAAACTATCTAATCATACTAATGAGAGAAGAAAAAAAAAACAAAACCAACTTACTCTCTAAATCTTTTGCTGTGGATTTTGGTTATTGTTGATGATGCCATTGGACTGCCTATCCCAGAACTAGCAGGAGAGCCTTGTGACACGGGAGTCATGCAGTACGGAGAGTTCTGACTTGCTGGAGAGAGCGATGTATCACTGGGCATACTCAGTCCAGTATCTGTGGAGATGTGAGATGATGGTGAATTAAGAAACCTCTCAGCTAAAAGGCCCTATAATGAGTCATACTATTTAGAATAACCACTGACTTCTGAATCACTTTTCTCTCACAAATTAGTGTTTCTCATATACATGAAAAATGAAGTCTTCTTGTTACCTACTAATACATACTCTAAAAATCAAGCACTGCCTAGAAATCTCCACCGAGGAGGTAGGAAAAGGTCATGCTATCTAACCCATCTGGTCCCAGGGGATTTAAAGAACAAAGAGCTACACCTCTTTCCATATCCTGCCTCCTATCCCTTCATCTCTACTTTTACACCTGCTTCTTACATGGTTGCTGGCAAGAATACATTTTATCCTGCTCAGTTCTCTCCACAACCTTGTAATTCTCCATGTACTACACCAGTTTGTCTCTTACTTGGCCTTTGCTCCTGTACTCAGGGATCCACACTTTTACATGCCATTTGGGGAATCTATCTCATCCTCCATTCCGTTCCTAAACAGCTAATCTCAGGGAATGAGCTTATATTTGTATATTCAGTCCTCAAATTAGCAAAGTTATATACCTATTTTGTCTCCCTCTTGGATAGAAGCACTTGCCCATTCAATGCTCCAACCTCTAGCCTCCCAATTCTCCTTAATTACTAAAATACCTGTCAGAGATGTTCAACAAACATTTGCTGAAATACATTTGCACATAAAAAATATTTGCACATAAATACAATCATATAAATTGAAGACAAAGGAGGTTCCTAACTGTTACATCCGTAGAAATAAATTTTGTTTTCCACAAGTAATGAAACACTGCAGCTTACTGTGTATGTAAATCAAAATTTAAATTTGTTGCAAAATCACATGTGCTGGTTACTAACTCCATGGACTCAATCTCATTGGCTGGGATTTCACATGCTGGTTACTGTGTGGACCTGACAATTACTGACCAAGTGGGCTCTGCATTGTATTTCTATACTCATGGTGAAAAAGAAAATTACACAATGAAAATAGCCTCATGAGGAATGATACTGAAGACAAATTTCAGAAGCAGTCTCATGCACTGGTGAAATCTTACCTTTTGAAGAGTTACTATAAACTGTGGAGTTGAGCTTCAAACATGTCTCAGACTTATTATGTAACCAGTTGCCCACCCCCTTAGCCATCTGCCTTCAAAAGAAATCTCTCTTAAAAATAAATTTATATAAAATATGGAATACAATCTCCACTTAGGAACATAACTAGTTATAGCTTAGCTAGCAGTGAAATACCCCAGCATATTCCTTGAGAAGATGAAAAAGGGAACCCCACCACCCCTTACCTTCCTGGGAAACAATCTCCTGTGGCAAATCATCAATAAAATCTAAATTTACTTCTGTTGGTTCCTCAGATCCCAAAATGCTGTGGTCCACAGCTAAGCGTCCCTTCTTTTCCTCTCTTTCTTTCAAAATAACCTAAAAGTCATTACAACAGTCTTTAATTACTGATCACTCTTCCACTAGAGACTGAATGATTATAATGTACACCAAATATCAATGAAGTAGTTTACATAAACAGGACTATGAGGATTTTACCTGGCCAGGTGTTACTTGGCTGCATACCAACTGACCAGCAAAATGATCAATGTATTTGAATGGTAAATATAAGTTGAAGGAAATACTGTATACAAAATAAAGGCAATAATGCTTGAGAACATACAGCTAAACAAACTATCACTGTTTCATTCTCTAAATCCTCAGTAACAAATAAGAGTTTCCAAAACAATGACTAAGGTAAAATATACAATATACAGGTAAAATACAAGTTATTTGACTGCATTTCAGTTTTCAATTATTTAGGCACAAATTATCTCCTTCTGACTCTCAATAAAAACTATAAGCTGACAAAAGCAGACATTTTCTTTAATTTATAGATGAAGATGAAAGTAAAAAAAGAAGTCTGCCTACAATTATACACAACACAAATCAATACTGAGATCCAGGGATTAAGAGTTCAGAGGGCCCCCTCCCCCGCCAAAGCTGAGGAACAAACTCAGGGCTTTGTACTGGCCAGGCAAGTGCTATTCCACTGAGCTAAAACCCCAACCTTTTAGCTCACCTTTTTAAGTGCTGTGGGTCGTTTCAGTTTTGCAATCTCCTTCTCTTTCCCTTTTTTTGCTTTAGAGGAAGCAATGTCCAAAGAATTAAAGGATGTCAAGCAGGGTTGACTTTTCGTTAAGGGTTTTCTATTAGTAGAGTCTTTAGTATGAAAAGAACCTGCAGTGACCACTGGAAAAAAAACAAAACAAAAAAACATTAGTTTTATTATTGTGACCAATTCCACATGCTTTCAGAACCTGCAGTGAGACATCTACAAAAACAAAAACATCTTCGTTCCATGGAGCAGCATAAGTAGCAATACGTGGCGATTCAGGGATCCTCAGAGGCAGCTCCTACTCAGCTTTTCAGCACCCATAGCACAAAGAAGACAATGTTGATAACACTAGCCAATTTAGAAGTTCTAAGTAAATTTCTAGGTCTACTCTGATTGCAGCAACCCCCAAGCACAAATGTTCATTCCAACTGGTATTCAGTAAAAACAATTCAACCTCCAAGCATTTCGCACTCCTTCTGGGTTTGCCATTTGCTCTTCCCAGTTGCTTCCATAGCCCTTTAACTTCTGATCTCCATTGTCTCACTCCAGCAGAGCTTGCCTGCCACTTCCCTGGGAAGATGATACCTAGTATGAGCCCTCAAAGCACCTGAGAGGAATGGCAGACATCCTCACTCTTGGCTGAGGCTCACCAACCACCTCTGCCCTCTCTCCCCACTCAGTTCCTTACTGCTTTCCACATTTTCCAACTTCCTTCCTAGCCTCTTTCCTGACCCTTTGCAACAAGTTAAAGAAGGAAGGGGATGGGGTGTACACCAACAAAGATCTTCCTTTGACTGTCTTCCCTTCAGGCTAAGGCACTACAACACCTCTTTCCTTCCCTGCTAAACATCTCAAGTTGTACTGTCATCACTTCCCAAATCACTGCTATCCACCTACCTTTTGAAACTGATTTTGCCACTGACCAATATAATCCCTGAATGAGGCAGGAGAACCTCTACTCTTAGCTTCGTTCAGCATCTGGCACAAGGACTACTTTTCCTCAAGATCCTTCCCTTGTCTTTTGTGACATTATATTCTCAGAGTTTTTTTTTTTTTTACTCATTTTCAAGTTTATTTCTTTGGTTCCTCTTCCTTTTGAAATCTGAGCATTTTCACAGGTCTTGTCCTTAAGCACTTTTCCCCTAAATTTTCCTTCCTCCAACAATCTTATTTCATAGCTTCAACAATCCTATTTGATGACTTCTCATCTAAACCACACATCAGAAAGAACACACCAGGCTCTCACTGCTGGCATCTCAAGTACAAGTTTGCTCTTGTCAACACAACTCTCCATCCATGATCTTATCTTGTATAGTGTCACCAAGGCCCTTTTTACCCACTCCAAGCCAGAGCTAGAGTTACATCTGACCTGTTTTCACAACTTACTGTTAGAAACCTATCAACTCCTTACAGTTCTGTCTCATTTTTTGAACTTCCCAATAGCTTTTTTCATAATCAATCCTTTACATTAAACATCGATGATAGAGGTTAATCTCAATTCTGTATTTCAAGGACCCTACTACCCCCTTTCTTCTATGCAGTCCTCTATAACATCTTTACCATACCCTCTGTGGACATAAATCACTCTAGGCTGTAGATCCATACAATTTGGCAAGTAGATTTCCTAAGGTGGTACCTTCAATTAGTGATTTATATTGGTCTTATTCTACCAGTAAACTTCTTTTTTTTTTTTTTTTGAGTCTGATCCTGGGGCCTGAACTCTGGGCCTGGGCGTTGTCCCTCAGCTCTTCAGCTCAAGGCTAGCGCTCCACCACTTGAGCCACAGCACCACTTCCGGCTTTTATCTTTTTGCTTATGTGGTGCTGAGGAATCAAACCCAGGGCCTCAGGCAAGCGCTCTACCACTGAGCCACCTTCCCAGTCCCAAAATAAACTTCTTGTACAAAAGCATATCTTAATCATCTCTGTAATCCTAAGAGTTTCTGATAACATGTTTTACGTATATTTACATTTATATATTTTACCATTTGCTAAGTAAATCAATATTGTGATGATAAGCCACAGGTTAACATTTTCTTCCTCATAATATTAGTTAACATCTATTGAGTGATTATCACTCAGATTCTCTAACCACTTTACATGTATTGTCTCTTTCACTCCCCCAAAACAATCCTGAAGTAGGCACTGGCACTTAAGGTTAGGAGGGTAGGAGATTTCCTAAAGAAACACACAAAAGAGCACAATTCACACAAAGGTGCAATGCCTAAGAAACACATAAAAGAGCACATTCACACAAAGGTGCAATGCCTAAGTACTATTTCCTATTTATAAAAAAATAATTCATACTGAAACAAACTCCAAAGATACAGAAGCAAAAGACTTTGTTTTTTCTTTTTCTGAAGATTTTTGTATTCTTTACTTTATATACAGTGTATTCACATGCATATCTATGGGAGGGGGGTAGGGCACAGAATCCGAGGAAAAAGGGTGAAAAAGTGCAGCAGTAGGCTGGGCGCCAGTGGCTCACACACCTGTAATCCTAGCTACCTGCTACTCAGGAGGCTGAGATCTGGGGATCACAGTTCAAAGCCAGCCCAGGCAGGAAAGTCCGTGAAACTCTTATCTCCAAGTAACCACCAGAAAACCAGAAGTGGCACTGTGGCTCAAGTGGTAGAGTGCTTGCCTTGAGCTGAAGAGCTCAGGGACAACACCCAAGCCCAGAGTTCAAGCCCCACGACTGACATAAAATAAAATAAAAAATAAAATAAAATTTTAAAAAGTGCAGCAGTGAACACTGATGAAAGTGAACTATACAACTCATGGGTGAAGATGGGAGGGAGGGAGGGAGGGAGGGAGGGAGGGAGGGGATGGGATAGAATAAGGGAACAGATTAACACTGTATGAAAGGATAGGTACTTATTATCTGACACATATAAACGAAACCCCTCTGTATCATCTCTACAATAACGATAAAAAAAAAAAAAAGAAGAAGCACGATTCATACCTAGACAGCTTGGCTTCTGAGCCCCTGCTTTTACCTATTATTAGGCCGAACTTCTCCTAAAACACTGCTCTTAGTTATATTCCCTACAGTATGCCATGGGGACACATTCCTGTCCCTTTCCCTTTCTCACAAGCCTAACTTCGTTGGAAGCTTAATAAAATTCACTGTTATTTTTCCTAATAGTTACTCACAGCAAGGTTTAGCCTGGATGGCAATTAGCTATAGGTTTAAGCATTCTGCACCCAGGGCTATAGTTATACACTGTTGCTTTTCTTTTCGTCTACTAAGCAATAGTCCTCTCACCTGTCACATAAGAAAACTCAACCCTGCTTCTCAGCGTTAATGTATTTGTTAACATAGAAATTATGGCTTCTGTAGAAAGTCACATTCACTTTCTCATACACATACATGAAACTGAGTGAAACTTCTGTTTATCATTTAATTTAAACTGGACATCATAACAGTCAACAGAGCCAAACTACCTGGTGATTATAAACTGAAGATACAGTAAAAGATGCCAAGCTAGGAACATGAGGGTACATGGGGCCCGCAGTTCCAGGACAGAATGGTCATGAAGGCAAAGTGGAACAGTAAGGTTAGTCAGGATGTGGCCTTGGGACTCTGGCTTTATTCCAAGTGAGATAGAGCGCTCCTGGAGGGCTTGGGCTGTGGGGTGACACTACCTGGCTTATCTGCAAAGATCAATGGGTTTAAGGAAAGTTGGGGGTTGGGGGCAGGAAAGGCAGGTAGTAGGGAAGAGGCCTCTCAAGGACGTGTATGCAGTAGGCACTTTTGGGAGAGAGGAAAGAACTGTGAGTAGATTATGGATCTGCTCTGAAGGAAGAATAGACAGATGTGCTACAGGACTTGATGTGGAAAGAGAAGGAACACAGATAACTAAAAAGTGTGTGTGTGTGTGTGTGTGCCCACTACAAAGGCAATGATGCCCTCTATGTAATGTATATTCCAAGGTCAAACAACACTCTGCCTGGACGGAGGCTGTTACCTGTGTATGACAGAGGTCGAGTGTTTGTGACCTGCCGTGCTTTCATGGCTTGCTGTTGCTTTTCCAGGGCAGCTAGCATGTCCCCTAAATCCAGCTGCACAGGGGTTTTATTCTTTTTGCCAGCTGCTTTTGATAAAGCTTCCTGCAAGATGGATAAGAAAACATTTATTTTTTTGTTACAGGGAGAGGAGTCATGCTGGTGCTTGGCAGTAGCAAAAAATATTATGACCTTTGTTCCTAAAAATGACTCTACCTGTAATTTTTTTTGCTCCATACTTATTTCTGAATATTCCTGAGCTGTGGCAAGGGCTGCTGCTAAAGCTTTCTTCTTCTGGCTTTTTGCACGCTTAGGAACAGAGGTGGTAATGGGAATTGGAGTCTGAACTATATTGATGGGTGAATTTTCGGGTAGGTCATCCAACTGTAAGAACCAGAGAAAAACATTTGTCAGCAATCTCATACAAGTCTAATCCTAAAGAAAGACAAGCCTGAGCGAAGGGCAGCCAGTAGTATAACTGGACTGAACTCTTCAAGGATCCAATGTCATAAAGAAGATGGGACCAAGCCAGATGCTGGTAGCTCACACCTGTCATACTAGTTACACAGGAGGCTGAGATCTCAGGATCTCAGTTTAAAGCTAGCCCAGACAGGAAAATCTGTGGGACTCTTATTTCTAACCACCAGGGAACTGGAAGGGGCACTATGGCTCAAGTGGTAGAGCATTAGCCTTGAGCATAAGAGCTCCCTAACAGCACCCAGGCCTGAGGAGTTCAAGCCCCGTTACAGAAGGAAAGAAGGAAGGAAGGAAGGAAGGAAGGAAGGAAGGAAGGAAGGAAGGAAGGAAGAGAGAAAGGAAGGAAGGAAGGTAAGAGAGAGAAAGGAAAGAGAAAGGGAAGGGAAGGGAAGGGAAAGGGAAAGGGAAAAGAAAAAGAAGATGGGACTATTTTAGATAAAGGGATAAGAAAGGGGGCAAACAGCCAAAGTTGATGCTTATCCAGATCCTGGACTGAAAACAAACCCTCCAAAATAAAATGTCATAGTAACTGAGGAGATTTTTGTGCACATTGTGTGTAAACCATGCACACCCTTGGGTCTAATTCTCTTTAATAGCTCTTCACACACAGCCACAGGTCATAGCTTGCATGATTCACTTACAGTTCTAAAGAGTCACTTACTACTTTTGAAGAAAGTTTCTGCTGAATATTCTCATCCTTAGCATTTCCATTCTCAGTTAGCTCTTGAAGCCCATCTTCATCCTGAAATAAGTTATACATTTTAAGTAAAAATAGGTCAGAGCAAACTCTGAAGAAAGTTTTCATTCCCAGCCAAGAAAACTCAGTGTTGAGAAGGAAACCTCTCTTCTTCTATGCAAAACCTTGCCTGCTGCTATCCCATGCTGGGGAGGTGTGTGTGTGTGGTGTGTGTGGGTGTGGGTGTAGTGCGTGCGCGTGTATTTTGTGTGTGTGTGTGTATTTTGATCCAAACTGGATTTCATCACATACAGATAATGTTGAAGATTTTATTTTTATTTTTTTTGGTTCGGTCGTGGGGCCTGAACTCTGGGCCTGGGTGCTGTCCCTCAGCTCTTCAGCTCAAGGCTAGCGCTCTACCACTTGAGCCACAGCGCCACTTCCGGCTTTTTTCTTTTTGCTTATATGGTGCTGAGGAATTGAACCCAGGGCCTCAGGCATGCAAGGCAAGTGCTCTTCCACTGAGCCACCTTCCCAGCCCGATGTTGAAGATTTTAAACAGTTGAATATTAATTTTGTTAATACATTCACTGTTCCACATTACCAAACACAACTGTAAGATTAAAGATTGAAAAATTTTAAAAAAATTCTATTCAAACTAACTTTTTTCCCCCTTGTATTACTGGGGTTTGAACTCAGGGCCTTATACCACTGAAGCCATATAGTACATAGGATCACTTGAGCCACACATCCCAGACGTTTCTGCTTTATTTTACAGATAGAACCTTTTGCTTTTTGCAATCATCCTCCCTTCAATCCCACTAGCTGCCTGTGGGCATGCTCCATCCAATGTACCTGACCTACTGAGATAGTCTGCATAACTTTTACTCAGGCTGTTCTGGAACCTTGATCCTCCCAATTTCTGCCTCCCAGGTAATTGGGATTACAAGTGTGAACCACCAGGCCTAGCCATGACATCTTCAGATATAAGTATGGCAGCACAATCCTAACAATCATAGTTCAAATGCCTATCACAGATATATTAAAACTATTCTGTGCCAGGCACTGAGGGCTCATGCCTATAATCCTACCTACTTAGGAGCCTAAGATGTTAGGAGCATAATTTGAAGCCAGCCTGGGCAAAGTCTGTGAGACTCTTATCTCCAATTAACCACAAAAAACGGAAGTGAAGTTGTGGCTCAAGTGGTAGAGTGCTATCCTTGAGCAAATAAGTTCAGAACCAGCATCCAGGCCCTGAGTTAAAGCATTAAAGCCAGGATGTGCATGTGCACAAGCACACAAGCACACACACGCACAAACGCGCGCGCACGCAAACACACACATACACACACGCACACACAACTATTTTGGATAGAGTAACTGAAATGTACTCTCAACTCCTTTGGGTCAGCTACTAAACTTACCTAACACATTATACATCTCCATCCTCTAATCTCTATCAATCTATTTTATAGAATTTATGATCTCTCCAAAATGAGTTACACAAATGAATTACCAGAGGAGTCTGACACAACCAAATTCTGTTTTTTCTTTAAAATCCATTCCAAAGTGTGCTCATTATCTTGCTCATGTAACTGTAACCCTCTGTATAGTATCTTTACAATAAAAAATTAAAAAAAAATCCATGCTACATGTTCAAAGTGATCTGTGTCTATTCTAGAGTCAATAAAGCATTAAGTCTGTACATATCTATTCCCTACTTACAGCAATGTCCTAAGCAAAGTCTGACTATTCACCTTAACATGTTACTTATGACACCTTATCAATGCAGAACAGGCTGTTGGTAAGAGCTGCATAGATGACTTAACAGTACAGTTAGGATATAAGTTGCCTACTAGACTAAGGAAAATAGCCATTTTTCTTCCTAAATGGTACCAGAAATTATCTAGATTGAGCTATTCAACTCTGAAAAACCTCTCAAATGGACTGAACAACAAAAATCAAGAGAAAAAGTCTGACAGTGGATGAGGTCCACATGAAGTGAAGCTCTGTATCTAAATCTACAGTATGTGCTCCAATGAGCCATAACTTGTAAACCTAACACCAATGAAGTTAATGAACATTAAAAATATATGTAACCAAGGCAAATAAAAATCAGGCAATACTTCTGAGTAACTTATAATCTAATACTGTAATATTTGTAATTTATTAAATTAATTTCTTAGTGAGAGCATTTTCCTGTTAACACTTTACGAAGAGTTTGAAAAAAAAATACCTCAAAATATAAAGACTCCGAATTTGGGTCACTTCTGTGGGACTGACTAGGGTTTAAATGCTTGTTATCTTGTCTCTTTTGCAAATTCTGTCTTCTTTCTGAAGAAGTACTATGTCCTCGGCATCGGAATCCAGCCTGAGTAACCCCACAGGGGAAAAGAAAATTTTATTACGTTTAAGCAACCAGTGTGGTGAAGTAAAACACATTTTCAGAAAAGTACAAAAAACCCAATGAATTTTCACCAAATGCATCATTTATTTTAAGAGGCCAAAATCTCTGACAAGTAGGTGATTCTAAGGAAAATATAAAAAATGTGATTTTTTGGGGGGTGGGAGTGGAGGGGGTCAGCCATGGGCTTGAATTCAGGGCCTGAGCGCAGTCCCTGAGCTCTTTTTGCTCAAGGCTAGTGCTCTACCACTTTGAGCCACAGCTCCACTTCCAATTCTGAGTAGTTAATTAGAAATAAGAGTCTCATGAGGACTTTTCTGCCTGGACTGGCTTCGAACAGTGATCTCAGATCTCAGGCTTCTAAGTAGGTAGGATTTCAGGTGTGAGCCACTGGCGCCTGGCTAAAAATGCTATCATTAATAAGCCTCACCTTCTTTCCCTCTCCATGAATATCTATACCAGATATATCCGTAAGAGCCTTGATCTGAATGCCAAATGGATGTCCTGGGTGTGGGGTGGTCACAGTAACTGGCACTTCTTTTTGTTTTTTTTTTTCTTGGGTCCGGTTGTGGGGCTTGAACTCTGAGCCTGGGCGCTTTCCCTCAGCTCTTCAGCTCAAGGCTAGCACTCTACCACTTGAGCCACAGCGCCACTTCTGGCTTTTTTCTTTTTTGCTTATGTGGTGCTGAGGAATCGAACCCAGGGCCTCATGCATGCAAGGCAAGCGCTCTACCACTGAGCCACCTTCCCAACCCCACTAACTGGAACTTCTATACGCCAGCAGGACAGTCAGCCAGATAAATATATGAAGTGGCAACAAAACTGACACCCAGCCTGCCCCACCACAGACCAGGAAAGTGAGTGCAGAGAGGGTGTTTGGAGGATAGGAGTGACAGGTGAGGAAGGAGAGTGAAAGACGGCAGGATCTCCAGGGTAACACTGGGTCCCCAGCTCTATTCTCTTTCTTGACTTTTTCAATTTTAAATATCCTGTTTAAGATAAGAATATTGTACTTTAGTTCTGCAAGATGTTGCCATCAAAGAAAATAGCACAATACTTTTTTATGTAACTATTTTAAGTCTGATATCTTTTTAAAAATAGTTTTAAGGGTCACGTTCAACCTAGAGATGACCCACTTTCAGTCTACTGGAAGTTTATTTTCCAAATAAATTTTATTACTGCGTGCGCTCCCCCCCACGTCCCCCACCCTTAGGAAAAAGTATCAAATAATAAAAATCCTTCTTCAGCTGGACATGGTATGGTGGGGCATACCTGTAATCCCAGATACTGGGGTAACAGACATAAAGAGGATCACAACCAGGCACTGGTGATTTATGTCTGTAATCCTAGCTACTTGGGAGGCTGAGATCTGAGAATTGTAGCTCAAAGCCAGCCCAGGCAGCCAAGTCCCCAGGAGACTCTTATCTCTAATTAACCACCAGAAAACCAGAAGTGACGCTGTGGCTCAAGGTGGTAGAGCACTAGCTTTGAGCTGAAGAGCTCAAGAACAATGCTTAGGCCCAGAGTTCAAGCCCCGCAACCAGCCAAAAAAATAAAAATAATAATGAAGAGGATCACTGTTCATGGACTGTTTTATTAGCAAGAAGTTAACAAGATACTCATGTCGACAAACAAAGCTGGACATGATCATAAAGGAGGATTACAATCCAAGGCTGGCCCTGGATAAAAAAATAATGCAATACTCACCTCCAAAGATATCTGGCTCACATTAAGGCAATACAAAAAATAACTAAAGCAAAAAAGGAATGGGGCTGTGTGGCTCAAGTGGTACAGCTAGCAAGGGTGAGGCCTGAGTTCAACTCCCAGCACTACCAAAAGTAATCTTGTTCCCAAGGTAACAGGTTGCTGGAGGCTCATGGGAATGTCCTGCCCACTCCTCATGACCTCCATCCTAAGACCTTGAGGAGGCTGCCCAGCCTCTATATTTGGCGGAGGCACCCCTTCCTGCCACTAACACAAAGAGGTGAATATGTCAAATAAGGCACAGACGCGAAGCTAAAATCAGTATTTAAGGCACAGTGTGCACTTACTTTTTTTATATATTAATAGGAAAAAGACATGGAAGAGGCAGCAGTATTTGAGGGCATCCTTCTTCAAAATAATGAAATATTTAAAAATACAGATAAGGGCTGGGAAGGTGGCTCAGTGGTGGAGTGCTTGCCTTGCATGCAGAGGCCCTGGGTTCAATTCTTCAGCACCACATAAGCAGAAAAAGCCAGAAGTGGCGCTATGGCTCGAGTGGTAGAACACTAGCCTTGAGCTGAAGAGGTGAGGGACAGTGCCCAGGCCCAGAGTTCAGGCCCTATGACTGGCCAAAAAAAACAAAATAAAAATACAGAAAAGTAGGAAGTTAGTACAACATGCACCATACATTTACCACCTTCATTTAACATTTCACGTTGTTTTATTACTTAATTATGGATATCAATGTTTTGTTTTATTTTGGCAGTACTGGAGTTTGAGAATTCAGGGCCTTGCACTTATTAGGCAAATACTCTACTACTTGAGCCATGAGTCCAATTAGTTTTGCTTTCATTATTTTTCAAGTAAGGTTCTGTGTTTTCGCCTGGGCCAGCCTCAAATCTCAATGCTCCTATTTACTAGGAGGACAAGCATGTACCAATGTTTCCAATTTTTTTTACTGGTTGACAGAGGGTCTCAGGAAATTTATGCCGAGCTTGCCTCCATCTTCCCCATTTCAGCCTCTTTAAGATTACAGGCACAAGCCACTGTGCCACTTAATAGTTTACTTCTAAATAACAATATACATACGCAAAAATTAAAGAATCTGTCTTTTCACAATCATTATCACAAACCAAAAGTAATTCATTTCACATCTAATCAAATTTCTCCAACCTAAGTTAAATTACCTGGGAATTGTTTCTTTGTTCAGCTTGCCTTCCACCTCTAGAAAATGTCTGGTTTTTTTCCATCCAAGGTTTTTTCTGGGTTGCCTGGCAAGTTACATTGGTCCAATTTACACCACCTATAACACATATTTAAAGATTCCTTTACTTAGAAAAGAAGCCAAGATCTAATTGCTCCTTAGCTTTATATACTAAAATTTAGTCAGTTAAATATAATACTGAGATTTTTCTCTATACCTTTTCAGTGACAGTTGTTAGTCACCCAACTTCCTTGCTAAAACTGTACTTTTCAATTAAGTATAATTACTCAAAGATTTATGTCTGTGGGATCTTCTTTATTTTTTAGGTTTTGTAGCCCTAGTGAGTTATATGCTTAAAAAGATAGAGATTATAGCAAAACCAATGCAGAAAATAAGTACCTGTACACACAGATGATTCCACATGCTAAAGGAAAAAAGAAAAAAAGATAATTACTTTCCACTCAAGATGTATACTTGACAAATATTTTATCATTTAATCTAGCATTTTGCGTGCTTTTTGTTCTTGTTGTTGTTGGCTGTGAGGTTTGAACTCAGAGCCTGGGCACTGTCCCTGAGCTCTTTTGCTCAAGAATAATGCTCTACCACTTTGAGCCACAGTGCCACTTTCAGCTTTTGAATGGTTAATTAAAGATAAGAGTCTCCCTGGGACTTTTACTGCCTGGGAAAGCTTTGAACTGTGATCCTCAGATCTCAGCCTCCTGGGTAGCTAGAATTACAGACATTATTAGCCACTGGCACCCAGCAGACATGTTTGTTTGTTTTTGGTTGGTCATGGGGCTTGAACTCTGGGCCTGGGCACTGTCCCTGAGCTCCATAGCTCCAAGCTAGTGCTCTATCACTTGAGCCACAGCGCCACTTCCGGCTTTTTCTGCTTAGGTGGTACTGAGGAATCAAACCCAGGGCATCATGCATGCAAGGCGAGCACTCTACCACTGAGCCACCTTCCCAGCCCCAGACATGCTTCTTATAATGACAGAATATTGCTTCATAATACTTTTCATTCCAAATATATAAACCTCATTTTAACCATCTAATTACTATAAGAACTGTTCACTAAGATACTATGATTTAGCAGAGGACACGAGAAACAAATAGATGCAGCCATTAATAAGGAAACAAGACATGCTACACACATTCATGGTCCCAGCATCGGGGTGACGCAAAGCCCCGGCTGCAGGCTGGTTATTGTTGTGTTTGGGACTGCAGTAGCCGCTATCACTGTCAATGTCAGCTTCGCTGGCCCCCTGCTCACTGGAGGACTCAGCAGTGGGGTGAGATGCTCTTCTCCTCCTGCCTTTGGACTTCCACAGCATTGTGGCAGTGCTCTCTGACAGAGACTTGTTAGCAATATCTGATGGGAAATCTACAAGACAAGGAAAGTGTTGGTGATGATCGGAGCAGTAAATTCTTGTTAAATAAATTATTATTAGATTGTGACAAACTGTGTACAGAGAACTATGTGACCTTTTGAAAAGACTAAAAGATACTCCTGGTAAGCTAATATTACATGTTTCTATTATGAAAATAAATTATTGTATCATTAAGATACTCAAATAAGTAAGACAGGCATAGTGGTACAAGCTTATAATCCTTCCTACTTGGGAGATAAAGATCAGGAGATCATAGTTTGAGACCAGCCCACACATAGAAGTTTGAGACTTCATCTCAATCAGGCTAGATGCAATGGTACATGCCTATTACCCCAGCCAGAGAGAGAGCACAGTGACAGAGCACAGTGTTGCTATACACTGTCCAAGCTGACCCCAAGTATAAAGTAAAACCCTGTCTTGAAAATAAACTATGGAAAAAAAAAAAGGCACCTGGTATACATGTGAAAGTTTCTATGGAGATGAGGTCTCAGGTGATGCACCGATTCAACTTAACTAGAAAATGCCACATCATTTTCAGAGATGGCTACAATTTATACTCCAACAGGACATAAACATTCCCACTGATCCACACGTTCACCACATACTTGACACATTTCCTAGACTATAATTCTTGCCACTCTGTTATGTATAAAAAGGTAGTTCAGTGTGGGAGTTCTCAATAATGAGACTGAGCATCTTTCCTGATGCTTTTAGCCACTGTACTGCTTTTTCACAAATTACTTTTGTATTATTTAACCTGTCATTTTCTGAGTTGTCTTGTTTCTAAGAGTTTTTTTATTTCACAAGTTATAACTATACATCAATAAATTTCCTTCTAATAAATTACAAATTTTCTTTTTTTCTGAATCTACTCATTATTATTTTATTGTTGGCAATACCAGAGTTTGAACTGTGGACTTCAAGCTTGCTCAGCCACTGACCTACAACTTGGCTTTTTGCTGATTATTTTGAGATGGAGCCTCAAACACGTTTCTTTCTAAGCTGGCTTCAAATAATAAACCTTTAGGTTCAGCCTCCTGAGTGCATTAAGATTATAGGCATGAGACACCAGCACCGAGCTCACATTCATGTATTTTTGTTTGTCAGTAGTAGGGCTTGAACTCTGGGCACTGTACCTGAGCTCTTCAGCTCAAAGCCAGTGCTCTACCACTTGAGCCACAGCGCCACTTCCAGTTTTCTGGTGGTTAATTGGAGATAAGAGTCTCACAGACTTTCCTGCCTGGGCTGGCTTTGAACCGTGATCCTCAGATCTCAGCCTCCTGAGTGGCGAGGATTGCAGGCGTGAGCCACTGGTGCCCCATATGTTCTGCGCCTTCCATGACTTGGTAGTTGTTGTGGACACTGGGTTTCACTGTGTAAACTGCACTGTGACAATGTAAAGTTTTCATCAACAGCCCTATCTCTTACAAACAAGAAACTGCACTTAAACATATCCATAAGGTTGGATAAATGAGTCAAATGAAAGAGTTCCACAGTCCTATCAAATGGTGGCCTGTAGGCACAGATAGTACCCTCTGGCATTATGTCCTATAAGCTCCAAGGACGGTACACAATTATTTCCATATGAATTCTTATATAGCTCACACATATGCAGACAACTTTATACACGTTGCTAGCTGTTCCTCCTCCTCCTTTCTTATTTTTTCTTCTTCTTCCTCCTCCTCCTCCTCCTCTTCTCTTCCCTCCTGCTCTTCTACACTCCTCCCCCTCCTCCTCCATCTTCTTCTTCTTAGTACTGGGGTTTGAACTCAGGACTTCACATTTACTAAGAAGATGTTCGACCACTTGAGCCATGGATCCAGCCCTTTGTGCTTTATTTTTTAGGTATGGTATAGTGTTTTGCCTAGTCTTAAAGAGCCAGCCTTAAACTGTGATCCTCTTATTTAAGGGCTTTCCAAACAATTTAGAGACATGTGCCACCATGTCAGTTCATTAACTGAAATGGAGAATATCACTTCTTGCCTGGGCTGACCTTGGACCTCAGTCTTTCTGATCTCTCCTTCCTGCATAGCTAGTTATTACAGGCTGAGGCACAAAACCTGGACCCTTTTAAATTAAATGGGTATTTTTTGAAATAGTTCTCTGGTGAGCGGCAGTCACAAAGATACCTACCTCTATTTTCTTCTACCATTGGATTTCTTCATGAAGCCCTTAATCCAAATGAAACAGATTTGAGAAGGTATAAATCAGACCTGTAATGCTTTCCCTGTCATTTTCTATGTATGTGTTTGTACACATACAGAGGGGTCTGCTTCTATGCTTTGAAGATTCTTGCATATTGTACTAATAATATGAATCTACAGTCATTAAGGTGATTTTGTAAGTCTTAAAATACAGGGGAAATGTTCTTTCCCAAGGCTGTCTTGGGAAAGACATTGGTCTAAGAAGAATGTCAGACTTATGCTCCTAATTTTAGAATTGGTTTGTCAAGTTCCCGAAGCTTCCTAGTGGAATTGTTAGGAGAGTGGTGCTGAGTCTGCAGAGCAGCTTTGGGGAAGTGACATCTGAAGTATCACATCATCTCGCATGGCAGGATGGGACAGGCACACAGGATGTGGTTAAGGCCCAGCAATAAGGTCTTATGGTTTTCTGCTTATGTCTCATATCCCCAAGACTAATTCCTAGAAACTCTATGCTTCTGTTGCTATTATAAATCAGATCTTGCTTAAATTTTGTTTGTTGGTGGCATACTGAACTAGAATTAACTTTGGTATATTACTTTATATTTGGTTATCTTATGTGTCATATTTTGTATTTTATCTTATATTTGGTCATATCATTAGATAATATAGGCTTGTGTTCAAAAGAAACAAACTCTCTTTCTATGTCTTTATTTAACTCTGTCTCTTAATGACAACAATCAATCCTTGGAGGTCAAAAACAAACTGGAGAATACTGATAACATACAGTTGTCCTCACACTGCCTTCCTCACTCTGCTTGCAATCCTTATACTTCACAAGGCATCTTTATGATAACTTCACTACAGAAGGTTAATTTTTTTTTTAATTTTTTTTTTCAGTTATGGGTTTTGAACTCTGGGCCTGGGTGCTGTCCCTGAGCTCCTCAGCTCAAGACTAGCGCTCTACCATTTGAGCCACAAGGTCACTTCTGGCCTTTTCTGTTTATGTGGTGCTGAGGGATCAAACCCAGGGCCTCATGCATACGAGGCAAGCACTCTTCTGCTGAACCATCTTCCCAGCCCCAGAAGGTTAATTTTTTTAAAGCCATTCCAGGGCTGAAGAGATATGGAATTGGTCACAATGACAAAAAAACAATGAAAAACAATCAAAATCAAAACTTGGGAATTATCTAGCATTTGTCAATGTGTGCTCTACAAATCACACAGTGCAGCAGGTACTATCAACAGCATCCTTTCTCTCTGCTCCTAAAGGACCTAAGAAATGGTAAAAGGCTACGTGACTGAATATAAAATGGAAGCGGTAGAGCCCAAGGGAAAGAAAGCATCAGCCGTTTTATTCATTTCAATTTGGAAGAGCTTCCATGTGTGTGACTTTTTCTGACAATGTCTTGCTATGTGTCCCCGGATTCCAACAATGCCAGAATACAGGTATGTGTCATACCACACCTGGCCTCAACCTTGACCTTATATGAATAGAAGCTGAAGAGAAACAAAAAGCAATTTTGCCCAGACAAGATCTAACACTTGACCCTGGAATTGCTTACCAGGATGAATGACAACAGCAAGGAGGTCGATATCTACTCCATAGAGAATAAACAGAGACGAGAGACACATACTGGCATTTCATAATAGAAACTAATAAATAGCTACAAGATTCTTATTTATTGTCAGGGTAATTTTTTTCTTATTTAATGTTGTCATAGCCCTTGTTTTAAACATTTATGTTTTTTTCTTGGCTGACATGGGTTTGAACAAAGGGCCTTACGCTTGCTAAGTGGCACTCTACTGCTGTGCCATGCCCATAGTGTTTTGGTTGCACTGATTATTTCTGACATATGGTGACATTTACTGCCCTAGCACATGCCTGTACCTCATGGTACAGGCAGCTAATGCCTCCTATTTCAGGCTTACAGTCCTTACTACAATAACAGGCATGCACCACTTTGCCCAGCTTCTTCCACTGAGATAGTCCTGCAGACTTTTCTGCCCACTGGCCTAGAACCACAACGCTCATGAGCTCAGTCTCTCACACAGTTATGATGACAGGAGCATACTACCAGCCCGTTATTGGGTGTATGCCTGGGAGGGCCTTAAATCATGATCCTCTGATCTCAGCCTCCTAAGCAGTTAGGATTTTAGGTGAGACCCACTGGCTCCCAGTTTATTTGCTTTTTTTCAATGTAGATAATCACTGCTGATAGGTTGGTCTAGATCTATTCGTAAATATGGTACAGAAAATATGCTAAGTTCCTTCTAAAGATGTTTTGCAAAGTGTTTAATATTGTTATAAAGAACATTTTGATTTCTAAGCTGAGCACTGGTGTAATCATGTAATCCTAGCTACACAGGAGGCTGAGCTATGAGGATTGCAGTTTGAAGTCAGCCAGAGCAGAAAAATTCTGAATTAAACACCAAAAAGCCTGAAATGGAGCTATGACTCAAAAGGCAGAGCACTAGCCTTGAGCACAAAAGCTCAAGAGATAGCACCCAGGTCCTGAGTTCAAGCTCCAAGATCAGCACACAAAACAATAGTTCTACCAGAAACAATCACTCAACTTTCTACAGTAAATGCAAAATCCCACCTATGCCTACAGGGGAAAAGAAAAGCTTAAACCTTGTTCAAATGTATATATAATAAGTCAGCAAGTTGAGAGAAAACAAAAACATGAACTGTGTGAGGCTTCTGATGGCATTTGACCAAGTGGCAGGACAAATGGAAGGATGAAGTATAGAACCCTGAAAAGTCCAGACCACAGCCATGAATTCATGCATGAGCAGCACAGATCTATCTAAGCCTGTGATGAGTACATAGAATCCTTCCCTTACCAGTCTGCTGTGAAGCATCAACCAGAAGCACAATTTTCGATCTGGTATCAGGTCCTGCTGCATTCGTTTCTTTCTGAGTAGCTACATTTTTCACCAGTGGCCTTTTGCTCTTTATATGCTGTTGTGAAAGTTGTTGCTGATTTAAGTTAAGAAAAAAGAAGAAGAAGACATCTATTCAAGCACTAAACATTATAAAATCTTTGCCTACGTGTAAGACACATTATACACAGTCTCATGCTTTCTCAAATAACCATTAACACTATAATTGTTAAACTATAAACTCATTTTTAATTGTAATACTTTCTCAATTATTAAAAATAAGAGTATAATCAAATCATATTAAAAGCTGTACATTTTATATATAGAAATGTAAGACTAACCATGGGGCCCTATCTCATGCTAAATTTTACCTGCATGATAACAATACATACAGACAAAAAAATTCTTCAGAGTTCAAAAAGAAAATATTAAAGAGCTGATCTGTCTTTTCATTTAAAAATATGAGCACTGGTGGGGCCTGGGAAGGTGGCTCAGTGGTAGAGTGCTTGCCTTGCATGCATGAGGCCCTGGGTTCGATTCCTCAGCCCCACATAAGCAGAAAAAGCCAGAAGTGGCGCTGTGGCTCCAGTGGTAGAGCACTAGCCTTGAGCTGAGGGACAGTGCCCAGGCCCAGAGTTCAGGGCCCCCCCCCAAAAAAAAGAAATTGTATTATACTATCTTATTTTCAATGTTTAATTCTTTTCATTCTTAAAGGTCCCAAAAGGAGTTCCCTTGATCCAAAGTGTTTCCATAAACAAAACATAAAGCTTTTCAAATCAATCTCTGCTGCTTGTGGTTGACTTTGTTAGGAGGAGGTAGACTTTTCCCTGAAGAAGCTGGGCTAATGGATCTGGGGAAAGATGATGACAGTCATAAGACATATCTTCTGTCAGCTCGAAGGGCTGACAAGGAAAAGGTGTGCTGACCACCACAGAAAGTAGAGCCAATACATAGGTTCCATTTTGTGACTGCCATAGCATTCACCGGCATCATTAGGGTGGGATTTGAACATCATTCAGGCAAATCTGAGGTTATGCCACTTTGTTATGTGTATATGATGATGGGCTACAAACCTACATGCATATTCCTACTGACTCTTTTTTTTTTTTTGTCAGTTGTGGGGGCTGAACTCTGGGCCTGGGCCTGGGCGCTGTCCCTCAGCTCTTCAGCTCAAGGCTCTACCACTTAAGCTACAGCGCCACTTCTGTCTTTTTTCTGCTTATGTGGTGCCAAAGAAGCAAACCCAGGGCCTCAGGCATGCAAGGCAAGCACTCTACCACTGAGCCACCTTCCCAGCACCGCCCTTCTGCCTCTTAAACTAATCCTTCCCTGAATTTTTTTTTTCTTCAAAGGCATGTGTATGAGGAATATGTCCATTTTTTAAGACAAATTGACTTTGAAGAAACAAAAGGTAACCTCAAGAAATAAAAATTGTGACTGAAGATTTTTTTTTTTTTGAGTCCGGTCGTGGGGCCTGAACTCTGGGCCTGGGCGCTGTCCCTCAGCTCTTCAGCTCAAGGCGAGCGCTCTACCACTTGAGCCACAGCACCACTTCCGGCTTTTTTCTTTTTGCTTATGTGGTGCTGGGGAATCAAACCCAGGGACTCAGGCATGCAAGACAAGCGCTCTACCACTGAGCCACCTTCCCAGCCCATGACTGAAGATTTTTTTTTTTGGGGGGTCCGGTTGTGGGGCCTGAACTCTGGGCCTGGGCGCTGTCCCTCAGCTCTTCAGCTCAAGGCTAGCACTCTACCACTTGAGCCACAGCGCCACTTCCGGCTTTTTTCTTTTTGCTTATGTGGTGCTGAGGAATCAAACCCAGGGCCTCAGGCATGCAAGGCAAGCACTCTACCACTGAGCCACCTTCCCAGCCCCTGACTGAAGATTTTTTTTTTTTTTTTTTTTGTTGGTCGTGGGGCTTGAACTCTGGGCCTGGGCACTGTCCTTCAGCTCTTCAGCTCAAGGCGAGCGCTCTACCACTTGAGCTACAGCGCCACTTCCGGTTTTCTGGTGGTTTATTGGAGATAGGAGTCTCATGGTCTCTCCTGCCCAGGCTGGCTTTGAACCGCGATCCTCAGATCTCAGCCTCCTGAGTAGCTAGGATTACAGGCGTGAGCCACCAGCGCCCGGCCTGAAGATTTTTTAAAATGCAAGAGGTAACTCATTAGTGTCGATGGAAAACCAACTTAGAATAGCTCTTGTGATTTCAGCCTCTTTGCTCTCTTTCTCCTTTCCTCTCTCCCTCTTTTCCTCCCTCACTAACTTAGTCAAGTGGCTGGTCCTGAGTAAAAGTTGTTTTTTTTAATTTTGTCTCTCCAGTTTCTTCAGCCCTAGGAGAATATTTGTTCCCATAAACAATGATAATACAAATAAAATTAGTATGAATAATAAAGCACTTCTTTTTTTATTTTTTTTGTGAAAATACTGTACAGAAGGGTTACAATTACATGGACAAGATAATGAGTACATTTCTTATCAAGCATTGTAGCCTCCTCCTTTGTTTCCCCTTCCCATCCCATCCTCTCCCCCACTCCCCACTCAACCCTCCTCCCCAATAAAGCACTTCTTAAATGACAGTGTTATTCCTACTAAAAATTCACAGACTAGAATAGTGACTCTAAAGGGTAGATCTAATGAATCACAAATGTTCTTTACCATGTCTTCCACTGGTTTCTGAGGACTAGAATTTCTTGATGTGCATTAGCCATTCAACATCACTAGCACTGGATCCACTTATCAATGCTGCTATCACTATGCAACTTTTACCACAAGATTGAAATAATTTGGAAATAATTATGCATTGTGTTGATGTAAAATTCTCTTGAGGTAAGGGAAGCATTGTAACATCACAGGAAAAATGAAGTGTTTTAACTATATGCCTTTGATTTTTTTTTTTTGGGGGGGGGTCCAGTTGTGGGGCCTGAACTCTGGGCCTGGGCGCTGTCCATCAGCTCTTCAGCTCAAGGCTAGCGCTCTACTACTTGAGCCACAGCGCCACTTCCAGCTTTTTTTCTTTTTGCTTATGTGGTGCTGAGGAATCGAACCCAGGGCCTCATGCATGCAAGGCAAGCGCTCTATCACTGAGCCACCTTCCCAGCCCGATTTTTTTTTTTAATCAGTGAATGAAAAATATGTAGTAAATTCAGCAAGTAAAGACCCATTAATACAAGCAGAAAACTGTATTAGTCTTAGCCTTAACAAATATCAAAGATAATCACTTACTTTTGGTGCTACTGGTCCTCGGTTAGTGTTTCTGGTTCGATGAGTGGACAGTGGGAAGACCTGCCCAAGCTGACTGGGACGCTCGGTGCATTCAGTGGCTACTGCATTGACAGTATTTGCAGCCTGAAAGGTGCTAGAGTATGGAGTAGGAAAAGGATGATAGAAACCCATAACTTGGGCACAGGGTGCTGGCATCAGCTGGTAATAAGTATACTCTGCAGAAACAGGCGGCTGAGCAGATATGATGGGGTAGGCAAGGTATGGTCCAGCAGGGTTTGGGTTGGGTTGTTGCCACCGTAGATCATTGTTATATAAAGGAAATTGTCTGAAAAACCAAATATTAATAATAATAATAAAGAACAAATATATTAACAAGCCTAAACATAATGCGAAAGTAAAAATCTCTTATCTATTATCTCTTTTTCAGTTTAAAAATATTGCAGAACAGTGGCTTCATAATAATTCTAGGAGAGGGGACAAACATCATCATCCTATACATTTCTTTGCTACAACTAGAGATCATGATGTATCAGTGATAACAATTTAAATGACAGGATTAAAGCATCCAGTCTCATAGCTGCAAGTCAACTCACATACCATTTTTTGTAACCCTGTCTTCAAACTTCTTCAAGATATTTCTGCCTACAAGTTAAAACAACTAGGGGCTGGGTCTGCAAACATGGTAGTCCAAAGTTCCTATCCAATATTAATAGCTCTGACAGCCTCTGCAGAAAGCAAAGTAAGATGAGCAGTGTGTAAGGTGATCATTACACAGGGTGATTTGCTCCACCCCTCACTCTTTAGGTTGGCTCCAAGCTTCCTCTTCCATATTCCCCTATCTACTTGGTCAAGGGCTGCACTTTTCCTGGCTTCTCTCCTAGGCAACAGAGGGAGGTGCAGGTGTCAAGTCAAGGGAGAAGACAAGGAGCAAGCGTCTCTATTGATTCCTGTCCTCAGCACTATACTTCCTTCTAATGTAGCTCCTACAGAGCACACCAACGGTTCTTCCCATCCCTGGAGCCTCTCATCAAAGGTTGACGCTGGGTGTAGAGGGGTTGAAGCTTAGAGGTTTTCCTCAGTTGCTTCTGGGATGACAGAGAAAAATGGACAAATATTCACCAAAAAAAAAAATCTAAAAAAATATTTAAAAATTTAACAACTGGCTTACTCATGAATTCACAAAGACTATCTGATAAGGCAAGAAATCAAACTTTTCACACTGTACACTTGACCACTCTGTCCAAAAGAAAAACTAATATTGAACTTAGCCTATTAATCATCTAACACATTATTATTTTTGTCAGTTGTGGAGCTTGAGCTCAGGCCCTAGAGGCTGTCCTTGAGGTTCTTTGTGCTCAAGGCTAGCACTCTACCACTTGAGCCACAGCGCCACTTCCCATTTTTCAGTGGTTAACTGGAGATTAGAATCTCACGGGGACTTTTCTACGCAGGCTGGCTTTGAACTGTGAGCCTCAGATCTCAACCTTTTGAGAAGCTAGAATTATAAGAGTAAGCCAACCAGTGCCTAGCTACATTAATTTTTAATTATCAGATTGTTAATACAATGCTAACTTCAGTTGAGAAGGATCTCCTATAATTTCTACTATTTGAAAGCCTTGAAAATTCCTAAAAATCTCAGATTATTAGCATTCAGTATGTGAGTGTGCAGCTCAATGGCCTCATAAAGCATCCATTCAGAGTTTCTCAAATTCTGCATGCTGGTACACTGGTATCCCACAATGGTTTATGGATATTTGGAAATATCAACTGCCTTGACTCTTCAAGACCATGCCACCAGCTGCCTCATCCACTTGGCCCACTGGGTTTCACAAATGCTAGAGGACTACTCTTTTCTGTAAGTGATAAAACTTAGTAAAGGCTGAAAGCACTTCCACAAAAGCAATGAAATGAACTATACCAATGAATGCCAATCATTCAGTCTACAGAAGGGCCAGTAAGGTATCATGACATGATTACCACAATTTACCACCTTGTGGTAACTTCGTCATATACCCGTTTGAACTGCAGGCACTTTGCTAAGTTCCTCTGTGACTACAACACTACATGCTGACTACCATGGAAGTTTCAGTTAAAATTGTCTTATGCCAAACAGTGTCTGGCATATTAAAAATCATATCTCAAAAGGGGTGGGGGTTCCTAAACATTTCACTTTTCCCTTTGGGTTAATTTCTTTCAAATAAATTTAATGATTTAATAAAGTTGCATGTCTTTAAAAGTACATCTCCTCCAAGAAAATAATCCAAGTTAACAAATTTTCAAGTTTCTACATCATTTGGTTTTATTCTCCCTTCTTAACAAATAAAAAGATAAATGATTAATGTTAAAAAAGAAAATAAGCGTGCTTTGCCAAGTTCTACATAGCCCCCACCTCACACATAGACAATGAAGAAAATAATGAAGAAATTACCTATTCGATTGGTTTTCCTGAACAAATGGATAGCAAGTTATCAGGTAGCTGGGAATTGGAGTTGGTTCTACACCAGAAACACTTCCATTCTCATTTGGGAGAGCCATAGGAATCACAAACGTATCAGGATTCTTCTTCTGGGGAATAAATGGCTCTACTTCAGCCGAAAGCTTAACATTCTTCAAAGGGAAAATGAAATGTATTTAATTAGCAAACAAAACAAAGGCATAACAACAGACAATCATCTTTACAAACAGTAGTTCGGTCCCAGTATTGAGAAAACTTCCAAAAGGAGCAGCAATGTGCCCTTAAAACATTCCTGCAAGCTAGGCACACGTGGCTCATGCCTATAATCCTAGCTACTTAGGAGGCTGAGATCTGAGGATCACGGTTCAAACCCAGCCTGGGCAGGAAACTCCATGAGATTCTCATCTCCAATTAATCAGAGAAGAAAAAAAAAAAATGGAAGTGGCTCAAGTGAAAAGGGCGCTAGCTGCTCCCAGGCTCATAATTCAAGCCCAGGACCAGCAAAAAAATAAATAAAATGAATAAAGTAAAACAAGTGAAAACCAATGAAATTACTTAGACAAAGCCATTAATAAAATAAGAAAACTTGTTAAAGGTGACATTTCAATGAAATATTTCCTTACATAATCAAAACTGTTAAAACAATCAAGCGCACAAGGAAGTCATACCTCAGCAACTAAAAATAAAGCAGTAGCAAGAAAGCCAACTCTTCACACAAAACAATATGCTTTTAACTAATTCTGTTATGGGAAAGATCATTAAAAAGAGTTCTGAATAATTATATTTATTCAGATAGTTTAAAAAATAGTCCATTTTTGTCATTTTCAGGAAATTAGATTAGCATTGTTAAATCAGAAGGAAGGAAAAGTCTAAGAAGAAACAAAGTATACTGAACATAAGGGGAGAAAATTCTGGTTCACAGTTAAAACTGGAGGAAAAAAATGAGAACTTCAGATGCCCAGCAGACACCTGAGCAAACTAAAATAACTCACAAAAATGAACTCTAGGTTTCTTTGTTTCTTTTTTTTTGGGTCCGGGCCTGAACTCTGGGCCTGGGCGCTGTTCCTCAGCTCTTCAGCTCAAGGCTAGTGCTCTACCACTTGAGTCACAGCGCCACTTCCGGCTTTTTTCTTTTTTGCTTATGTGGTGCTGAGGAATCGAACCTAGGGCCTCAAGCATGCAAGGCAAGCGCTCTACCACTGAGCCACCTTCCCAGCCCGTTTCTTTGTATCTTTACTTTCTTTTTTGGGGGGGAAGAAGGGCTGGTTCTGAATCTCTTCTTACAACAATAAATCTATACATACTCAACAGACTACAGTATTGACAGATACAACTGTAAGTACATAAGACCCATGAACACACAAATCGTTTAAATAGTAATACAGGTGGACCCATTGCAACAATGAGATGTACAAGTCATTATGTCGAAAACAAACTTTACAACTTTCCTGGGGGGGAGGAGGGGCGGGGAGGATTGAGGTGGCGGGGGAGGATGGGAAGGGATGGGAAGGGGAAACAAAGGAGGAGGCTACAATGCTTGATAAGAAATGTACTCATTATCTTGCCCATGTAATTTTAACTCCTCCATACAGTATTTTCACAATAAAAAAAAGAAAAAAAAAGATGCATGAACACTAGAATAGGAATTTCTTAGAGGCACCTGGGTAGCTTCTGAAGTGTCTGATAAATTTCTGTCCTGTCAGACGTCAGTGGCTCATGCCTATAATCCTAGTTACTCAGGATGCTGAAATCTAAGGATTATGGTTCAAAGCCAGCCCAGGCAGGAAAGCCGGTGATACTGATCTCCAATTAACTACCACATGGAGAGCTGAGGATCATGGTTCAAAGCCAGTCCAGGCAGGAAAAGCTGGGACATCTATCTCCAATAAACCACCAGAAAACTGGAAGTGGCCCTGTGGCTCAAAGTGGTAAAGCTAGGCCTAGCCTTGAACAAAAAAAGAGCTCAGGGAAGGCGGGTACTGGTAGCTCACACCTATAATCCTAGCCACTTAGGAGGCTGAGATCTGAGGATCATGGTTCAAAGCCAGCCCAGGCAGGAAAGTGTGTGAGACTCTTATCTCCAATTAACCACCAGAAAATTGGAAATGGCATTGTGGCTCAAGTGGTAGAGTGCTAGCTTTGAGCAGAAGAGCTCAAGGACACTACACTGCCCAGGCCCTGAGTTCAAGCCCCATGACTGATAAAAAAAAGCTGCACCAAGTTTTTATGTCCAGTTTCGCTCATACTAATAAAAAAAATTTAGATGAACTCAGGCAACCTATTTGTTCAAAGATGTCATAAGTAATTTACAATTCATGTTGATATGTATATGCAGCACAGATCTTGAAAAGTGTGCATTAGTTTTCTCAGTGCAATTCTAAAGAGCAAAGTTCCACAATAAAACTCCCAATCACTAAAGTGAGCCTTTGTTTTTAAGCATATAAAGAGAAGCTACATTAGTCAACAGCTGCACAGACAGAAGATGTCACTAGCAGGAACAGACTGACAAACTTTCTCCAACAGTTACTGTTCTGTATGGCTTCAAGTTCTTTATTGTGATTGAGGCCTGCTGAATCTACCACATAGCAAATATACATACTGGTTACTCTCAGTCCAAAAGACATTGATAAGACTCCAAACACTTCTTAAAGTTCCACCTAATAAAACTTATGATATTAGGTAAACAATAGCTTCTAGAGCCATTTTAATATTAACGTAGAAATCAAAGGAAAATGGCTTGCATAATAAAATATTTTTTCAAAATTAAAGTAATTGCTGGACACTGGTGGCTCAAACCTGTAATTCTAGCTACTCATGAGACTGAGATCTGAGAATCGCGGTTCAAAGCCAACACAGGAAGCTAAGTCCATAAGACTCTTATCTCCAATAAACCACCAGAAAACCGGAAGTGGCACTGTGGCTCAAGAGGTACAGCACTAGCCTTGAGCTGAAGAGCTGAGGGACAGCACCCAAGCCCACAGTTCAAGCCCCACGACTGACAAAAAAATATATGTATAAATAAAAATTTAAAAATTGAATTATTTATACAGTATTACTCTCATAGGAATTTCCATGTTTTACTTTATACTCTTTGTCATGATCTACTTTATTGATTTTTTTTTTTAAAGACCAGAAATTTTATGGCAGGGAGTTGTCTCCTTAAGGAATGGAAACATGGAATATGTCCAAACTTAGCACACAAAACACGGTCCACTCATTCTTGTACTATTACCTGTTCCAAAAAAATCTCCAACTATCTACACTGTAATAGTGACTATCTTTCAGAAATTATTTCTAAATTTCCCAAATTAAGGAAAAGTCATAACAATTGCAGAAATCTGTTTGGAAAAAAAAAGCACTCAAGGATTTCCACTCATTTTTAATTTTGTATATATTAAAGCAAATATCCAGGGGCTGGGAATGTGGCTCAGTGGTAGAGTGCTTACCTAGCATGCATGAAGCCCTGGGTTTGATTCCTCAGTACCATATAAACAGAAAAAGCCAGAAGTTGCTCTGTGGCTCAAGTGGTAGAGTATTAGCCCTGACCAAAAGAAAGTTCAGGGGCAGTGCCCAGGCCAGAAGGCCAAGCCCCAGGACTGGCCAAAAAAAAAAAGAAAAGCAAATACCAGAGGCTGGGATGTGGATTAGTGTAGAGTGCTTGCCTAGCAGGCACCCTGGGTTTGAATCGTCAATACCACATAAACAGAAAAAGCCAAAAGTGGTGCTGTGGCTCAAGTGGTAGAGAGCTGGTCTTGACCAAAAGAAAGCTCAGGGACAGTGCCCAGGCCCTGAGTTCAAGCCCCAGGACTGGGCAAATAAATAAATACAAATGCCAATAGATAAAATGTCTTTTAATAGTCCAGAAAGACAACAGTTATCAGAACATGATTTTTTTTTTTAATCTTGCTTAAAGAGTTTATTACACAAGTGCATGCTGGTCAGGGGTTCTATAGAGTTCCACAAATGCCCATGGAGCAGTGTTCTGGAAAGGCCCTGTACCAGAGCAGCTTCGGGAAATGGGCAAACCATTCCTGGGAAGCACACACCAGCAGAGAATGCACTCAAGTCAGAAAAAGAGCCTCCAGGAGAATGCAAATAATTGTCCCAGATTAAGCAACAGAAAAATGACACCCACTTAAGATAAAAACTGAAGCAGAACATAATGAGACATTCTCCCACAGTGCAACTTCTGAGTATGTACCATACACCCACAGAGAACACAGAATCCTGAAGGCCCTCTATAGTCTGTGGTAAGGAAAAATGTCAAGATATTTTACATCCCCTGGCCACAGGTAAAACAAATGCCTTCTGAAACAGAAAACACACGATGACTGCTGAAGATCCCTGCTGGCTGTACTTATGGTTTACATACCAAAAAGAACTGTACTGGTTACAAGTTTTGCAAGACTTCTGAAAACACCCAGGAAAAAAAAAAGGAAAAAAAAAATCAAGGCATTTCACACAGTCTGCCCACTTGCTTCCCTATCCATAGTTCTGCACTTTTTCTGCGATGCCAAATCTAATCCTGTTAAAATCTGATGGTACTCTCCTAAAAACCAGCTTTCTAGACTTCGTCTTGAGGTGATCTAATTCATTAATATCAGTTCTTACAATGATTATTTTTTTTCTTCTTGCTTTGATGGAGTTTCTCCTTCCCCCTGGTACCTCATTTCTTGTCTTGGATGTGTCATTTTATTTTCCTTTTAAGCTGTTTGATAACTAAAGCACTTATGACATGCATTTGCCTCAAGAGTATAGCTTCAGCCTTATCTTGTAGCTTTTCATATGGTATTTTATATTCTACGATATCTTATAAATATTTTATATATCCCACATTCTGTTTTTCTTATTTTCTCTTTAACCTAAAATCTTGAAAATGTCTTTTTAAATTTCCACATGTTATTTTCTCTCCATGAGCATATGGAGAATTGACTATGCATTTAGTTTGCAGTGCCAATATTATTTGAACTTTACAAACTACTTGAAAAGAAAAAGTTACAAGCCAAATAATTTTGCTTTCTTTTTTTTTCATTTCAATAAGCATTTTTTTGTTTTTTTTATTCTATTTTTTATTTATTTATTTTTTTTGTGAACATACTGTACAGAGGGGTTACAATTACATGGGCAGGATAATGCATACATTTCTTATCAA